GACCATAGAGAAAAGTTATGGAGGCGACGTGTTGTTGGTGACCCAGTCTCCAGGACTAGCTGAATGATAGTTTTCATAAGTTTTGATCTAGGGTTTTTTACGTATTAGTTTTATTTTTTAAAGCTTCGAATTGTGATTTAGTATGTCGTGTTTCTATATTTAAAATATATACATTTTATTGATAAAATTGATATAAGTTTTTATTTAATATGTCGTGTTTCTGTTGATACCGTGATAATACTAACTTATCATCGTGGATACTGATTATCCGCCAATTATTTGTCCGAATATTATAGAATTTATAATAAGGCAATACGATATAACAAAAATGTCAAATAGACAATTCGTAATGAAAAAAAAGAAAAATATTCAATATATCCTTTTATTCTGAAGTATGTATAAATAGTAAACCACATGTGATTACAATGGCACCTTCATAATATAGTCTTGAAGTTTTTATTCAAAGCACTTTTGCTAGAATTTGTCTTGCTTCTATTGAGGCTGTTGCTTTTGCTAGATGGCTTATTTCTTAAGTATTGCCACACATAAAAAATATGATCAAAATCTGTTTGGGATTTCTGATCTTGATCCAACAAAGCATATATGGAAAACGAAGTTGAAAGTCTTGCGTAAATTTAACCGATTTCCTGACCGTGACCGCACATTAGATTTTATAATGTGCGACTGGAAGATAAAATCCATAAATCAATTTTGTTTTAGTATTTGTAGTTTTAAATGTTTGATTTTTTTTTTTTTTTTTACAGGGACAAAAGATTTCTGTTACCGCACCGTTTGAATTTTATGATAAGTATTCTAACATATGTCAGGAGGGAGACTGGATACTTTTAATTAATTTTAATCTATTACCTGTCACCGGTGAGTTCAAGACAAGTACACATCCTTATATGACCCAGATTACAGTTGATACAACGTGTGCAAGCTCTTATACGCAAGATATCAATAGTTATTTTTCGTTTGCCGCTTACGAAGATATTATGAATGGGACTATTGATTTTAGTTTTTGTGTCGGTGAGTATTCAGTATATCTTTCTTAGTTTGCTGGCATTGTATGATTTTGTTTATTAATTGATGTTTTGAATTTTTACAAAACCAGATTTAATCGGTAAAATTGTCAATGTTGGAAGCTTTCACGATAGAATTAGATCTTTTGATTGTTCTACACATTCAATAGTAAGATTCGATCTCGAGAATGAAAGGTAATTTGTAAACGAGTATAATATTTTTTAAAAAATAAGTATACTAAAATACAATTTCTGTTTATATCAGTCTGATTGTTCTTTAATATGAGAATTTTAGGAAACGGCGTTTATCGTGTTTGTTGAAAGGTGATTACGCTGCAACGTATCTTCGAGAGTTTGAAGGATGTAAACAAGATTCCGTTATTTGCATCATGCGTTTTGCGAAAATAATTATTTGAAGAGGTATTTTGTTAGTTTTTGTTATGAGTTAAATGTATATTATATATGATAACTACCTTTTTTTTTGATAATACAGGATGTTTATTGGCTACTACATCATATGATTGCACACAAGTTATTCTGAATTCACGATGCTTTGAAGCCTATCAATTTAAATACTTGATATCTGGTCCTTAATAGATGATGATAATAGCTGTTTTTCTACATCGCGAATTTATAGTGTTTCTATATTAAATTTCTTAATTTAAATTTAAATTTTATGGTTTGTAATATTCATCGAGTTTTTCTAAATTAAGAAATTCTGATTTTATTGTCTCTATTGCAATGTCTACCAGTTACAAATTTTAATTTATAGTATTATGTATGAGATTTGATATTCTAAACTATTCTCAAATTTATTGGATCTCAAAGAATAGTACCTAAAGTGATTACATAAGAAAGTGATTATATAAATTAATTTAATCTCTATTCGTTGTTAAAATAATTATATATTAATTAAATCTCTATGCGTTGTCAAAATAATTTTTAATCTCTTTATTGTTTATTACTTTATTGTATTGAAGGATAATAATATCTTTATTGTTTATTACTTTATTCTGTTAAAGGATAATTTCTATAACGTTTTTAGGATTTCGTTATATTAATGAAAATATTCCTGTTTGCACTGTTCTATATTATCATATATATATATATAATTACTTTATTGTATTGAAGAATAATCTCTTTATTATTTAATTACTTTATTCTGTTAAATGATAGTTTCTATAATGTGTTTAGGATTTCGTTATATTAAAGAAAATATTCTTTATTATATATATATATATATATATGTATAATTACTTTATTGTATTGAAGGATAATAATCTCTTTATTGTTTATTACTTTGTTCTGTTAAAGGATAATTTTTATAGTGTGTTTAGAATTTCGTGATATTAATGAAAATATTCCTGTTTGCACTGTTTTGTATTATCATATATATATATATATATATATTCCTTTTATACTACATTGTCTATAATATAAAAATTATATAACTAGTTTAGGTATTTGGAAATATTTTTCTTATAATTTTTAGTGTTATCGTAAATTATTCCATTTTAAAGGTGTATATTCAATGAGTTTCCTTTATCTATAATCTTTAAAATACTAAATTTTATAACCTAATTATTTTATGTTATGGCGGTTCTTATACTATATATATACATACGTATTCTATTGAGTTACCTACAACTTTCTTCATTGTCTTAATACTTCCTTGGTCTTTGTTCGATGTCGATTTTTAAAAGAAAGTCGTCGATTTCGGTTCTCATTCGTAAGCTCAATCCAATTTCAGATAGCTATGTGATAAATGTTTCCCCGAAATTTTATCAAAAGATCTTGATAATAGTTATTTGATTGGTATGTTCAGTTATTTCATACTTTATTACCTTCGTTGTATTTGAATCTAATTCTTTTGTTTATATATATATATATATATATATATGTGTATTACATATAAATCTTGATTTTTTAGATATAATTGGTCATATCATTCGTGTTGGTCATGTTGAGAATGTTGTGGCTCAAGGAAAGCGACGTTTTCGACTCAAAGTATCTCTCAGAAATACAAGGTCAGTTCATTGTTTTTAACGTTATAATTATCCCCCATTAGTTCTCTTACATACCTTATTGTTGTGACTGATGGGTTGTTTTTTTCTTGCTTATATGAATATTATGTTTGATGTTAGTCTTTTTATGTATCAGTGATCTACAGCTACAGTGTACTCTCTGGGGTGATTATGCGAAACAAGTGTCTGATTATGTTAAGCGTAACTCTGCATCAGTTGTTTTGATTTTGATCAGACTTGCTTGCATCAAAGAGTATCGTGGTCCGTTTTTGACTTAGTTTTCTTAACGTTGTTATTTGTTAATATTCAATTAGTGATTTTTTATATAGGTGAGGTTAGTGTTTCGAATGCATTCAATACGACTCTCATCTTGATGGATCCAGTAACAACATACGCAACTAGATTTCGATCAGAGTATGTCCCTTTTAATATTTTTAATATATATTGGGTTAATTGTACAAAACATTTAGCGTCATTTTCACAATTGTTAATTCGTTTGTTCTAGGTTGCCAAATGATAGATATATACTTACATCAGTCGAAGAGGAAGCTTCTAAGGATTCTGATGAGGTTTTGATGGAGGATTTTTTTGGTGATAATATCTATAGGAGAACGTTAGATGGTGTTCACAATGCCAGCAGGGTATATCTTTTTGTTTTATCTTCTTCTTTTTTTTTTGTTGTAACTTTTTTTTTATTTAATTTATTAATTTGATATGTTTCTGATATGTTCGGGATGTAAGTGTGATTTGTAGGTTGGCAAGTACGTGATATTGGTTAGTGTGACTTCGATAGGCAATAGTAATAGTTGGTATTACATTGCATGCAAAACTTGCAATAAAAAGGTTTATCCGATTCCACAGAAGACCAGTGATACTAGCCCTTCTTTGTGGAAATGTGTGAACTGTTTGAAAAATGTTTCAGATGTCACTGTTTGGTAAACATTCTTATGTTTTTATATAGTAAGAATAACAAATTAAATTTATATTGATGATATTTTTAGAGTATTGTATAATGAGAACTGATTTCTTTTGTTGTTTGTAGCTTTTTCCTTATGTTGAATGTCACCGATGGCGATGGTGGTTTGGCAGTCTTTCTTCTTTTTGATCAATATGCTCAAAGGTTACTTAAGAAGACAGCTGAAGAAGTTTACGAAGAGTTAGATGGGGTATGTTTTATATAGTTTTGTACTTTTATTAACGTATATTTGTAGTATTTTAATTTTTTTTTTTTAATGGCGAAGGATGATTCATCTGCTCTTCCGACTACTTTAAGAGAGTTATCTGGCAAGGAGTTTCTTTTCAGACTATCAGTGTCCGATGATAATATTAACAAGATTAAAACTTCATTTGTTATTGACAAGTTTACGACAGAGGACCATTTATTTGAAATCTTCCGTGATCAGGTCTATTCACGGGTATGAGTTTTTGATATATTAATTAATGAGATTTTCAGTCTATACTTTATTTGTCTGAGATAATATTCCTGTTTGTAGGCACCAATTTCTTTGTCAAGTTCTATAGAAGAATCCGAAAGTTCTCCTATCTCGCCAGCTATTCCAGTCTCAAAAAGGATGAATGCTGATATCAGTGGAGGTTCTAATTCATCATCTAGACCAACGAGGAAAGGAAAAAAATCATAATGTTGATCGTATAACATCGTTATATGATTCATTGGGTCTTGATTTCGTATTTTTATGTTTCTTTATTAAGGATTTATTACTTAGACTATTTATTTATTTTTATTTTTCGTTGGTGTTATAAATTTGGTTTAAATAAAACTTGAGATATTTTTTATTGGCGTTGTATTGTCATGATTTGAATTGGGTTTGTTCCATCGATGATATACTTGATAATTTTATATATGAGAAAAATATTCAACGATAAATCAAAATAATTTTTTTTAATTAATTATGTTATATGAAATGATAAATACATGACATAATCATCAATATATACAGTCAAACTTTCTATACGCTTATCATATATATAAGTTTTTTCATTTGTAGTTTACTTTTAAGATTCCATTTAATACAATCGTTTTATATGTTTGTTATTCAGAGAATTCATAATGTTGGAAAATTATCTTCAATATATCTGTATTTCTTGCGTGTCTACGATTCTGTATTTTGTCGATAGGTTTAATTGATTAAACAGAAGAATTTTGTGGCATGCACTAGCTTGATGTGATGTTTGTATACTGATGAAACTATTATATTTTTTGATTATTTTTGACTCGGTATGCTCGCGTATCTCGCTTGCGTGTATGCTTAGTAAACCAGATGCAATTAGATTTTATTCTCTCATATTGCATGCTGCAAATGTCTCGAAAAAATATATTAACAAATGAAAAGACGCCTTTGACAGACAATTTTGTCATTTAAAATAAAATCTATAAATAAATTAGTTTTTATTTTAATAATACATATTCAATGTTGTATGTTTGCATAAATTTATTGGGTTGAAAAAGGAAATAACTGTCTAGAATGTAACGCGTATATATATGTGTTCTCTTTACTTCTTTTTTTTTACTTTTCCTTTTGTGTTCTTGACAGAGAAAAAAAAATGTTTGATGTTGTTGATATCTCTAGGTTAGATTATTACAGAACCGGCGGTGAAGTTCGTGTGCAAGTTGTTTGACTCTGGAAGAATGTAAATTTCTTTGGTGATACAATTGAGATGATTCTCGCTGACGATCAGGTATTTCATTATGTATTTGTTATTTCTTTATATACTTCAGAGGGTTGTTTTTAAAAGCAATTTTTCTTTTGGATTTTTACACTTTATCTTATGCGAAATCGATCTTAGGGTCATCGTAGCGCTGCAACTGTCATGCCTGATGAAATCCCTCTGCATGGACCTGTACTTAAACAAGGTTACTGGTTTAGGGTTTGTCGATTCGTTGTTAAGAAGGCTAGTGGTTCGATCTGCATAACCGTAAACAGGCATCGGTTTATTTTCGGATCTCATACGGTCGTGATTCCTATCTCTCCAGTAACCCATAATCTACACTTGCGTCTCAATTGCACACGCTTCTTTGATATCGTGACTTGCGGATTAGATTTTGGGTTTTTAATTGGTAATATTGGTAACCATTTGTTAGTTTTGTGACAATTTTAGTATAATATATCGTTTTGTTAATATCACTTTTTTTTTGTATCCGATATAGATGTAATGGGAACCGTGTTGAAGATGGGTGATCTCTGTGAGATCAACAGCGATGCTTATGAGGATAATGCAACATATGTTCGATTCGAACTTCTTGACGCAGGGTAAGATCTATGAGTTTATATTCATATGTCGTTTGTTTATGCAAAAAAAAAAAAAAAAAAAACAATGTATCATTTTGGTTTTATGACATCTAAACTGGAAGAACCTTTTTTGTTCTATTTTAATCAATTATGAGAGATTGTGTATTGCCATGTATCGTCCGCGAGAATTTGGCTAAGAATCTGCATAGTGTTTATCAACGTAATCAAAGTGAATCAGTGGTGTTTGTGCTGAGGTTTTGGAAGATGACTAATGGTCAAGGTAGGTTTTTATTCGTTTTTTTAGTATTTTAGAATAGCTAATCTTGCATTCTTCTAATTCTGATTCGTAAAATTAATGATAGGTGTTGATAAGAATTCAGTTGTCCTGTGCTCTTACCCTCCTTGCTCTGATTTCCTGTGTAATCCTGTTGATGACGAGATTGACGATTTCAGGGCTAAGTAAATATTAAATTTAATTTTTCTTTATTGACATATTTTGTTAGTTGATTTTAGATATATTGATCTAACATATCGATTTTTTTTTTTTTGTAGGCGATACCACCTTAACTAATGCACCATCGATGGAATGTCAATTCCTTATCTTTCTTTTTAATGTTTGTAAAAATATTATATTATGATACTTATTAAGTGATATTGGTTGTTGTCTAATCTACAATTTCGGTTTGACTCTATGCATACTGCATTATGTCTTATTTATATTATCAATGTTATGAATGATTATGTCTTATTTATATTATGAATGTTATGAATGTTATTAATGATATCATTACATTGTCTTTAGTGTCTAGAATAAATCCATATATCAATGGTTTTGTAGTGTTTTCATCTTTTTGGTGATGTATGGTGATTTGAAAAGTTGATTTGTAAACTATAGTCTACTCAAAGGGCTAAGTATTCATTGCGTTTTTGAAAAAATATCTGACAACTTCTGATAGATTTGAATTGATGGATATCTATAGTTTTTGATATATGTATATCTATAATATTTGGTAGATGTTTATCTCCCATATACAATAAACTTATCGAAAACATAAATTTAAAATACTAACTAATATTATGATTTTATGTAATATATATATATATATATATTTAGATGTTATATATGATAAACTAAAATTTGTTATTTAATGACTGATGCACTGACTGCGACAGTTATTCTAATTTCAAAAAAAAATTATTTGGTTTTTATATACTGTATTTCCTCGATTTAGTCCTTTATTTTTCTGGTATATTGTTTATTCTGGTGTGTATATATTCAATAAATTGTAAAAATTTTAACATAGAATAGCTTCCCCAAAATAATTTTTTTTTTGTAGAGAACCTTTTCTAAAAAGCGTTTATGGTTTTGTTGGTATTATGACAGCCTAGATAGAATATTGTTGGTATTATGACAGCCTAGATAGAATATTTTCGGTCAGTCTTTCGTTGATATACCTATATTCTGATAATACAAAATATTAATATTAATAATTTATTAATAATTTAGTATATTAATATCTGTTAATCGAGTATTGTAAACTACTTATTATTATTACATTTTCGGTAATGATTATCTCTTTACAGAATATATGGCTTATGGGAATCGTTTATCGTTTACATGCGGTTTAGGCATTAATATTATCTATATAATCAAAAATGTTAAAATTGAATATTTATATAATTAAAAATGTTTAAAGTACTAAAACCCTAAATTTGTAACATTATATATATATATATGTATATGTATTCATGTCCATTAGGTTAATTCATCGTCCTAGGTCTATTGTTTCGTTGCGTCTCTTCTAATGGAGTTTCCAGGTTTTTTATTCTTATTTCGTTTAATTTGTAGCCTATTTTTAGTCATCACACAATTCTCTCAAATCTTTATTTGTTATTCTTCACATTGAGAATCTGAGATGATGACTTTTTCTTGGTATATAAGAGTTTCTTTCTTATTTTTGTGGATTTCTAATAGACAATGATTTTCATGGAAGAGGCAAAGTGGAGATTCTACCTTTTCTTTTACCTCCCTCAAACAACGTTTTCTCATCGGACCTAGATTTACCAGTTTCAAAAACAAAAACTAAGTTTTCAGCTTGGATGGTGTGTAACCAGGACTCTCCTAATGCCCGAGAGCTCTTATACTCTGAAATACCGAAAGACTTTGTTTGGGATCGTATATGAAAACTTTGGAAGCCACGTATTTGTTCTACGTTAAGTAGGTTTATGGTTGATCGTTGTAGCGTTGATGATGGTGAGCTTTACTACCTGCGTCTTTTGTTGGATGTCGTGAGAGGACCACGTTCTTATGAAGATATCAGGACTGTTTAAGGTGTTGTTTATCCTACATTCAAAGATGCATGCAAAGAATTGTCTTTGATTTGATGAATTTCGTCAAACTTTTTTTTTCATATGAAGTTTGTGTTTTAAACACTGATCCATTTATATCATGGAATAGTTCATTATTTTTTTTTATAGTTGTAACTTTCGGGAATTATTAATATGAATCATATTTATTATATGGCTAAGCTAACGAGTTTTATTTATCTTATGAACAATATAAGCTAATAAGTTATGTTTAGAAAAGGAAATAATATATATATAAATTGTTTAATATGATCAAATAAACTAAAGAATATGTTAAACCTTTAAAAACTCTTTGATGCTTTACAAATATATATTCTCATATTTAATACTTTTACACATTACCAAACGTTTTTTTTTTAGTATTATGATATGTTCATAATTTGCATCATTTAGGTTGTATATTTCATTCCAAATCATATCTTATTTCATGCATTTTAGGTCCTTAGGGTTTGTTTTAGGACTTAGGAGTTGCATTAGGTCCCAATGAGTCTTTGCATGTTTTGAGTGTTTATCAGATGTATTTGGAGCTATTTGGAGTTGGAGAGATGGATCTAGGAAGAGAAATGGCAACCAGGACTTGAAAGATGGTGAAAATGGGTTTTGGAGGTTCTCGGCCATTTTTGCGTACCGCAGGAAGGTTTTCTCGGCCATTCTCACGTACCGCGGGTGGATTCCTCGGCCAAAACGCGTACCGGCTAATGAATTTCTCAGCCAAAATCTTCGGGTGCAGATACATTTCCAAAATGGCCTGTCCGGGGAACCTTCCGGTCCGATTCAGCTGTCGGGTGCTTCATCAAAGTTGGAGAAGATTGGATCAAAATTCCAGATCAAGTAGAATTCGGACACGTGAGCAGAGAGTTAAGCTCGTCGGAAGGAACTCCTGTATCGCTGCCGTTTTGGACCGACCCGATGAGCTCAGAAGAATGCGAAGGACGGTGCACTTCCAGACCGATTCAGTTTACGGGGCCTTCATCAGAATCCTAGATATTTGAGTCTTCTTTCCAGAACGTTTGAGATCATTCAATTCGGAGCTGTGAGTAAGAAGATAACGTTTCCTGAATGGACACACGTCTAGAAGCCTCTTTCTGATCGTGTCAATGCACTACGAAGACGAGCCCTCCAGGAAACCTTCCACTTCCCAAGCGCCGAATCTTCATTCACCAAAGTTGAAGATGTATGAGTCTTCTGTCCTCTGAAATCGGAATCACACAATTCGGACCAATATCCTGGAAGTTACGCCTCCCGGATGCAAAGTGGTCCAAGCTGCTCTGAATGCTGCGAGGTAGTCTTGCGACTTGGTTAACTCGCAAGCCTGAAGATGAATGCCTGGAAGTTGATGCTGCGAGTTGAAAAGTGCGGGTAAGCTATCACTGGATAAGGTCTGAGGCTCCCGAGCAAAAAAATGCTAAGTCCACAATCGTGCGATTTAGGCATGCGAGTTGGCCGCGCTTGGAACTAAGCCGCACGATCACTCGCAATCTACACCGACTTGAGCCTGCCACCTGGGACTAAGGGATGACCAAGTCGCACATTTACTTTCCCCAGATTTCGCCTTGGTCATGCGGGTTGAAGAAGAAGAAGATCAAGCCGCACAAAGACTCGCAAAACACATCTACTTGGGCGTGCGGCTAAGACCAAAGGATTCAAGCCTCACAAGAGGGTTTCTTCATCTGTGCGACTTGGGCATGCGACCTGGGAGACACTTGACCAAAAGAATACCAGGCACACAAATCTCTGTGGATTCGATCCCTAAATACTGCAACTGATTAGCTGTGCACTTGCGGCTTTCTTTTGTTTTGTTAAGGGTAAAACTTGTTCCCTCACGTAGTTGACACACTCAGCACCGCATCAAGTTTTTGGCGCCGTTGCCGGGGATTTGTTTCGCTGCCTTTTGCTATTTTCTTGTTTTAACTTCTGTTCTAGACACCTGATCTCTAGTTCTTTCTTAAAGTTTTCCTGAACTATCTTTCCCTTCTTTTGCCTTTCTCTGAATTGCATGAATACCAGGCGTAGACCTGCAGGAGACATTCCAATTCTAGACGAGATAGACGGACACGAAAGAGAACTTCGAAGACTTAGACGAACGCAAGGAATGGCCAACGACGACCAGCCTGGAGATCCAATTAATCGAAATTTAAATATGGACCAAGACGGGTCCGAACATGGAGAAAATGAAGAGAATGATTACATAGAAGGTGATCATGCTCGACAAGATGGAGAGGAGGATGAGGTTCTTCTAAGAAACCACCAGAACCGAGAGAGAGAACGACATGAAGACCTTGATCCACCCATCAATGTAGCCGATGGTGACCACCCAGCAATGCAGCCAAATGAACGCATTCACCGCCCCATTCCGCCAACAAATCAACACCGAAGACAAGCCAGGAACCATCGCATAGCTGATTTTGATGCACCTACTCAAAATTTTCAGAATCGATCTGCGATTCAAGTACCATTTCCAAACCGGAATGAGTTTGAATTCAAGCCTCAAATCATCTCATTGGTGAAGCAAAACCAGTTCCATGGAGTTCCTTCTGAGCATCCAATGGACCATATCGAGCTTTTTGAAGAAATTTGCAGCATGATGAGAACAAACCAAGTTCCACCTGACTATTTAAAATGTAAGTTGTTCCCTTTTTCATTAGCAGATAAAGCTCA